TTTTCCGAACCAGTGGTAATCAAACAAAAGAGTGACTTTCAATAAGTATTATTTATAATCTATATTGAATAAAAATGTTTTTGTTTCTGTTTCTGTTTCTGTTACTGTGTGTTCGTTTGTGACCCATATTCTATAAAAAAGAACGTAAGCCATACCCTTATTTTCTTCACTGTGTGATTATTTAAAATAAAACTGAAATAGAAGCTAATAATACATACAGAGTTTGTTTGCATCATCAAATACATTTACAAAACCATATGCACACGCATTCAATTCGCCCTTTTACTAACAACCGCTACAACTATGATGTAGTATCATATCATTTCGCGGAAAATCCAAAGCATTTTTATTTTTTATTTAAAGCATTATTAATTAAGTACTCGACCTAACCAAATCTAATAGTCCTTGACAGCGTAATTCAACGCTCCCGAGAAGCCCTAATCTTCCCACCAACTAAGTGGAGGCCACACAGCGTTGTGAACCCGAATTCAATAGAGCGCGAGCTGCGAACAGTCGCCACTCGGGTTGTACGCCTTCACTGAGGCCGTCGGCAACAGAACAGTTTGACAAGTGGACTGTTGACGGCTCAAAGGCTCAGTGGAGGCGGCCGTGGTGGGAGCTAGGGCGGCAGCTAGCTAGGGCTGCCTCCATCAAAGGGGGGACGGCGGTATCCCAGCCGCGGCCACTCAACTAACGGGGGTGAGAAGGGTCTAGCTGACTGCTGAGTGGCCGTGAAGTTCCTCTTCACACGCTGAGGGGGGGCGACGACACCCCCGCCCCTGGGGGGACGACCTCTTGACTGGTCGGGGGATGGACCCCTTTCAAATCTAGGGGCTCGGTGGCTGGCAGGCGAGCGCCGAGCGTCGCCCGACAGAGGGCACGGCTGAGCGCCCCCGCCTGTGGGGGTCGAGGACCCGGCAGAGCCCCGAGAGGAGCCGCAGTTCGCACCCAGGCATAAAACTCTATGGTGATTGCCCTGGCAATGCGGACGGGGCCGCTGATGCGGGCAGTCTCGCTGGAGGTGCCTTTCCAAACAAGAGTAGCACCAGCGGCGCTCCTTGGCGATAGTTCGCCTCGCCGGAACCGGCTTACTTAATAACTTCGGGCACGACGTCACCCGGTGATCAGAAGCTCTGCAATAGGAACAGGGGGCGCCTCCCTGGCCACTAGGCCACTGTAAGATGGTAGGGAGCGGCGCCCTCTTGCGGGAGCTCCGATTGGCTTTAGGGGGGTTGACGACGACTTGCCCGGCGGAGCCCGCCACTCACTGGGCATGGCTCGTAAGTCGTCAACGGTGCCCGCCGCGTTCTCAATCTGCCGGCACTGCTCCTCCAAGAACCGCAGCAGATCACTAAAGGGCGGAATATAGGAGGCACCGTCCCCGCCATGCCTCTCCTCAAAATGTATCCTAAGGTCGAGAGGCAGGCGGGACAGCACGATGTGGAGCAACAAGAAGGACCATTCATCCACCGGCAAATCCAGCCGCCTCAACGCATTACAGGCCACCAAGACTGGATTCAACAGGTCCGGACGTAGCTTGGCCCGGTCCCTAAGCAGTGGGAGACTTAGAAGCTGCCTGACGTATTCGTCCGCAATACGCCGGACGTTGGCGTATCTTCCGGCGAGGAGGTCCCGAGCAGTCTGGTAGGCGTCGTCCGACAATCTCAAATGGCCGACGACGCCCAGGGCCTCCCCCTCCAGTGAGGCTAGGAGGTACGCCATCTTCTGGCTTGGTGGCAAATCCCTCCGGGCGTCCACTAAGCTATCAAAAAGCCCTACAAAGGTCATCCAGTCGGAGAGGACCCCGGAGAACCTTGGCAGGTCCGGAGTTGGGAGTCGTCCCAACAGCTCCGGCTGAGTAGGCTGCTTCCGAGGGGACTCGGGCTGGCGACTCACCAGAGCTTCCTTAGCATACTTGGCCCCAGCCTCGATCAAGTCGTCCGTGAGCGAAAAGAACTGCTCGTAGTCCGCGAGGCAGGAGTCCAGGACTCCCTTTTCCACATCCGAGTACTCGAGCTCCGCGTAAGCCTCCTCCACTACGGCCTTTCGAGCATCGACCTGCTCGAGCCGCTTCTCCAAACTATAGACCCTATCCGGTCGACCTATCAAAGCATGGGCGCTAGCGGCCCAGCGCAGCTCCGCCTTCAAGCGACGAATCGGTAGCTTGTGCGATGGCATCACTACGAAATACAAATTACTACGCGGCTCAAATAAAAATCAATTAACAAATAACAAATACAGTTCCTATCAAATCAAGTTAAATACAAATTACACAAATACAAATTACTATTTATTAAATTAAATACAAATTACACTACCACGGCAAGTACACACTACAGTCGGTCAGAAAAGGTGCCTCGCTCAGACAACCGACCCTTCGACAATTAATCTACTATAATTATACGACAACGATAATTATCCGATTACGTGATAACCTTATCTACCTAGTCAAAATACCTGACGCGTACCTAGCCCTAACAAACTCCCGCTTGCGCGGCTTAACGGGCGTGGTTCCTCGTTCTACCAAACAAAAAATATTTATATGTAATTTTTATTACGTACTATTTTTATCTATATTACGGCCGGGCGATTGGAGAACCAATCAACCACGCTCCCTGCTACCAACAATGTTACGGCCCTCAGTTGCCCCGACAGAAGTCGACTAGACCAGAGCCCATGAGTGATCCACTCGACGGGCAACCAGAGGATTCGGGCCCAAATTTCATTATGGACAGTTGACCTACACCTTAGTGATAAGGCTAGGAAAATTAATACGACTTACCTGGTTCAGAAGCGGAGACTGGTCACAAGGCTCGGTCAGGCGGTAGGTGTAGTGCATGTAAGTGGTGTTTGTTAGTGTGTAAAAATGTGGGGCCTAACTTAACCCTTTTAGTCGGCAGCAACCCTGACTCCGGCACCGCCCCACGGTGTGATATTCTCCAGCGGCGTCACCAATGGACAATTTCTTCCTTCAATTCACTATGTCAGTCTATCAACTTTTTTGTACGTTTAATTAACTAACTTCAAAACTCAACTAAATCCCGTGTTAATTATAATCAAAAAACGTAACACGCGGCACGACTGATGAACGGTGGGTCAAAGTTCACTTCCGTTCACTCAGCAACAAATTATTTCGAGAACCGAACGCGACCTTCTAAGGCACTTAACGCAACGGTACAATTAAACATTAACTTCCAAACAATAAATCAACCCGGCGTCTAATTTTCTAGACTCTACAACTTCTCGTCGTTGCATAAATTTGCTAACAAAGCCGACACAATTAGAGGGCGCCGACGCGCCCCGTTATGTTGTTTTTAAATTTTAGCGTTTGGCGCAAACAATTGGTATAGTGGTAAATTCTGATCTCTGCTAATTCCCGATATGGATTATATTTATTTCAGTTGGAATATCCTTGTAAAAATTGTGTTTTTTGACATTTTTTTTTATAGCATAGGGTAACAAACGAGCACACAGTCCACCTGGTGGTTGCTATGGCCCATAAACATCTACATCTATCCTCGTCTGCGAATCAAAATGCAGAAGCGTTGTCACCCGTGAGGACTACGATGGAATGCCTCTTTTCCAGTAAAAAGGATCTCCGGTTCTCTACACTCACCATACGAAACACAGCAGTGTTCCGCTGCTACTTTACGCTGGCATTCTGTGAGAGCGTGCGACCCATTCGTGCTACAACTATACTACTAATATAGCTGCAGCATGGCTCTACCACGTATAATACACGCACTCACGCACACACGCATACGTCTTCCTTCTTTCTTTCTTTATGAGCCTATAAATGTTCACTGCTGGGCGCACACACTTGCACCTAACCTTCCACCTGCTGTTGCTTGCAAATGATTTTAGTTGCATATACATATGTACGTGAGTGCGTATAATTTGTGTTTTTATTTTATTTTTATTATTTTTACCTCCACACTAGGATTCTTACCATAAGTTGAGCATGGTTTTGGTTTAGTTTTTGCGTTACTTGAAATGTCCGCAGCGCTCCGTCTTTTCTTTATTGTTATGAGATGCTCACTTATCATTTAAAAATTCCTGCCTTTGCTTCCTTAATGACGATTTTAATTATAGACCTAGTGATAATAGTATCTCTTCGTTATCAAAGGTCTGGGGTCAAAGCCAAGAAAAAATTACATGCGGATAGGACGTAAAATTAATTTCGTGTGTGTGAAGAATTGCGCCTTTTTAAGTTAAAGAAATTGGCTGAACCATCCAACTCTCTCTAAGTCCCCTTGACACATTGAATGTTGAAGGTTTCGTTAGATGTACACTGCCATGTATTGTCTATTGTTATTAGTTTTATAAATATTTTTTTATATCCAATATATAAAAAATAATGTTTGTTTGTTCGTACTTTATGCGCTGCCATACCGTTCATCAGAATGCGCTAATACTTTGTCAACTTATTGCTTGCACTTGCGCGAAGGTTATAGGCATAGTACAATTAACTTACAGTAGGTGGCGCGCGTATCATAACGACAAATTTATTTGAAAGTTATATATCATTCAATTTCAATGAATGTATCATCATTCCTAATTAAACAATACCTATATTGTTGACTTGTTGAGTCTTCCAAATTTGAGACTATATTACAACAATTATTTCTTCTGCGACTGCAATGGACAGGGTACCAGCTAGTAGCATATAACTATTGCGTGTTAGAGCCACGCTCCAGTTATTTTATAGCTGCATCACAAATGGGTCAGCTCGACCGGGGTAGGAGCACGCTCTCACAGAATACCAGCGTTAAATAGCAACTTAATGCTTCTGTGTTTGGCCAAAAAAGGTTGGAAAGCCCTGACCGTAAAGTTACCCTGCGCGTTGCGAAAAAGCTACGAAGCACTCTCCGTGAGGTTCGATTTGCTTCGACTTAGAAACACTATTAAACTATATCTTAGAATATACACTATATTGAAATTCAAAATGTACGAAATTACTGATAGATTTGTTTAGTTTTACATTTTTGTGTCTTTTTCAGGGCCCCGGCGAAATCTCTGACAAAGATATCATTGAAACATGCAAACGTTTAGAGCAAAAGGATATACCGGCGAGGAAGAAGCAGAGCTCTTTAGTAACTATGTATGTTTTTTTATTCCACAATTATAAGCCAGTGCTTCACTACTATTCCACCTAAATAATTATAATAATAAGGATATTATTATTATAATTATTTAGGTGGAATTCTGACCGAATTACGGTCACAGCGGCTAGTCTCAACAGAGACTAGCTATCCGCTACCGTAAAATGGGATGAATAGGCACAACTTTCAACTTCTACACTATTTTTCTTACATTTCTTGTATACAAGCTGATAATAAAACACTGATGTTGTGAGTCTTGTTATATTTTATCGAATACTAATGCTTAATTTTTTTGTATTCTTGAAAAAAAGTAGTCAGTTTCTATTTACGGGGAATCCGGGGTCAATAGAGATGAGATAGCGGAGAACTGAAAAAAAAAAACAGAACGAAAGGCACATAAATTATTAAAAATATAAATTATTCCACTCCTTGGCTGCACTGCTCATTACCGAACGACGAAGCAAAACGTTTGGTACGAATGTGTAGAATATCAACATCAAAGGGGTTGTCCGATGGTGGAAGAGAGAAAGAGAGGGAGAGAGAGAGAGAGAGAGAGAGAGAGAGAGAGAAGAATTAGACTTAAAATATGTTCGATTTTTCTAATTAGACTTAGATGTATATCGTCTTTCGAAGTGATTTTTTTGACTATTCTAACCCAGCGCTTAGCTACTAACCCACCTGAAAGTAAGCACTGACTGAGCAAAAGTCTATTCATATTCACTCTTGACCCACTTTATAATCAGATCAAAAGACAAGTGCTGGCATCTTATCCCACCCCTTTGTTGTATGCATGACGAATGATGAAGCAAACCGTTTGGTTCGATTGCGTGGTAAGTCAACAACGAAAGGGTGGAGACTGGTTGTCTGATGGCGGAAGGGAGAGAGAGGAATCAGACTTAAAATGTATTCGAATTCTATTAATTAGATATGTGTTTATCTTCAAAGAAGATTTTGTTTTCGTGAATTTCGAATAATGTGTCTTTTTTCGGTTACTCTCAAAAATCTGTTGCACCACTTCTCTTCTTGGTCATGAGCCTGTAACAAACGATGCTCTCTTTTCGGTCTTTCCCATAACCACCTTCCCCGCATCAGTGGGCGGCCAGGATTGGGTGATGGATGCACGTTAGTCTCCGCCACACAGAAGTGTGGGGTCTTGTTTTAGTAAAGTAAAGTAAAGTGGAACTGAAACGTAGTCCTTCACTGCTGGCCTCATTTTGAGGTAGCTTGAGGTCACTCAGAGGATTTTGCTCGGCATTTTTCTGCGTAACAGATTCCCTAACAACGATACACACATTAAAACCAGAATAACTGACATCACCCAATGGGTTAGTAAGCAGAAGTGGCAACGCGTCTGCCATATAGCTCTACGAACTGGTAAACAGGATTTAGAACGGTCCCATACTACACACACAGTCACACAGTCTACATATAATGACGACTTGGTTAGACACTCAGAAAGTCAATAGATTTAGGTGGCTCAGGACCATGTTGTGTGGCATTGGCTTATGTTCAGAATTGAACTTGGTAAAGGCTCTAACTATAACGATAACAAAGAACAAGAATAAATAACATACGTCCACTGCTGGGCGTAGGTTCCATATTACGAGAGATTTTGAAGCAACTGCCTTTTTTTATAGAAATAGGGTGACAAACGAGCACACAGTCCACCTGTTGGTAAGTGGTTACCGTGACCCATAGACATCTACATCTATCCTCAATAAAGACTCAAGATGCAGATGCGTTGTCACCCGTGAGGACTAAGATGGAATGCCTCTTTGCCAGTAAAAAGGGTCTCCGGTTCTCTACACTCACCATACGAAACACAGCATTGTTAAGCTACTATTTTACGCTGATATTCTGTGAGAGCGTGGTCTTTCCCCGGTCGTGCCGACCCATTCGTGCTACAACTATACTACTAATATAGCTGCAGCATGGCTCTACCACGTAAAACTTCTTCTTTAAGAACTCTAAAATTTGTTATCAGTGAGGTAATTAACCGTATTAATTTGCAGTTTCTCAGTGTGGAACACGATAATGGGTTCTTCTCTGCTCACGATGGCGTGGGGAGTAGAGCGCGCGGGTTTGCCGACGGCTCTGCTGCTGGTGGCCTTCATGTCAGCGCTCTGCCTCTACACAGCGCATTTGCTACTCAGGGTCAATAAGCACCATGGTAAAGATTTTTTTTTGGTCCGTGCTTTCGAAATTTTCTAACGACTTCAAACAAGAAGAGGTACTCAATTCGAGTGTAAGTTTTTTATGTGTTACCTCATAGCTTTTTTCTGGGTAAATCGATTTCGATGATTCTCTTTTTCTCTGACCACTAGTTTTTGAGTTATATAAACAATATAAATTATTAGTTATTCTTAATAATTTATATTGAAGTCGGTTGTACAAAATTTTTAATTTTTAATTATTGCTACAAAAAAAACAATGAGAAATCGAATTCAAACAGCTCAAATACTTAAAAGTTCCGTTTCACAGTGGGCCCAGGCTATTTTTATAAATGTGACAAACAAGCGCACAGTTCTCCTGATTGTAAGTGGATGTTGTGGCCTACGCATCTACTTCTACCCAAAGAGAAAATAATCACTACGTTTACATCTACCCTCCATTATGAAGTAAAATACGTTGAGTGTACCTAAGGACTAAGATGGAATACCGCGTATTAATATAAATACGTAGAACCACCAGCAGTATTATGCTGCTATTTCACGCTAGTATTTTGTGAACGCGTGGTTCCTTCCCGCACGAGCTAATACATGCTACGTCTATAATACAGTCTAACTGTACCGAATATAAATGTTTAATATTTATTTAAAAAAAAATAGGGTTTGATTTCCCCTCGGCGGCTCCGTGGCGCAGTGGTTTAGCAATCAGTTGTTGCGCTGGGGGGCGCGGGTTCGAATCCCGCACAGAACAAGTATTTGTATGGCCTACAAATAACTGTTCCGGGTCTGGATGTTTGTCCTTGTGCAATTTATGTTTGTAAACTGCCTCCACGACACAGGAGAAATTCCTTGTGTGGGGGTAACGTTTTTTTAAAAAAATAAAAGATTAAATTTTAATGCCTTAAGATAATAGTAGTAAGTGGCGCAAATATGAGTCTCTGAGAGATGACTACATATTTGTGCCATTTGCTGTAGAGACTATCGGTCCGTGGGATCCACAGCGGTGAAGTTCCTAAAGGAACTCCATCGCCGGCTGGTCGTTGCTGCTGGTGATAAGAGGGCTGGTTCTTTTCTCGCTCAAAGGCTAAGTATAGCCATTCAGCGGGGAAACGCAGCGAGCGTTCTTGGCACGATACCGCGGGGAGTAGGACTATATGATAATTAAGTTTCTAGTTTTAGTTTTTTTTTATTATAATTATAGTTTTTATTATTGTATATAATTAGATAAAACTGTTTGGAATACACATCTCGAAAAACAAACATTTGGGGAAGAATGTTTTCGAGTGGCACCCTCGTACCGGCAAGCTAAGTGTAGGGCGGCTCACTAGATAGAGTGACGACCTGGTCGGACATGCAGCTTTGTAGCATTCTTTGAGGAGGCCTATATTCAGCTGTGCACTTGTGATAAGCTGTAACGATGATGATGATGATATAATATATAACAGTAAAACGCTGACAAGTTATGATAGATATTACACACAACAATATGACTTGCGTAGGCAGTGACAAATGCGAAGTGCCTGCCCTGTGCCGTATGTTGCTGGGCCCCTGGGCAGAGGCCGTGGCGCACGTGTTCAGTATGCTGGTGCTGCTGGGGGCCAACATCGTGTACTGGCTGCTCATAGCTAACTTTTTGTATCACACCGTCAATTATGTCATGGGTGAGTTTAACTATCTTTATTTCACATTATCACGAATTCATCAATATGACGAGTTAGTAATAGACCGGGATTCATTAAATATTTATGTTTGTATATTAAGCAAGGTATACTTTCAACTGCATATTAAAACACGATATCTCATAATACATAAAACTTAAAATAAACGCTTTTTTGCCTTAACTTCACCCACTTGACACACTCCACAGACTATTGAATTAGGAACATTTGAAATTTATTGAAGTATAATGAAGTCACATAAAACTAAGTAGTAATTATTTGTTGGCACTTAGCAGCATTTTAAAATTCTTTGGCTACATCTTTACTCTGTGCAAATGTTTGACCACAGACTATTATATGTTTGACATTGGCAGTATGAGCGTTAACAATGTATGTTTTATTTCACTTTATTTAATGTATTTGTAGCAGATTATATTGTATTTAAATTTAAGTTTTCTGCACTCCTTTATATATAAACTGTAACTATACCAAATTTCACTCATCCGTGCGCGCAAAATGCATGAAAAGGGGTTCAAAGTTTTCTCGTCAAGTATTAATAATTTAATAATATAGGTATAATTTTACGATTCTTATGTTATTAATATTAACTACTGTTTTTGCTATTTTAAATGTTGTTTTAATGTTAAAAAATATGTTCTAAATTATGTCTAACTTTAATAAGTATTTGACTTTATTACTCTTAAAATATTTGACTATTTATATTTTTATTAAAAAAAAAAAACGTGTAATTTTATTACAAAAGGTGTAATTCTAAGGGGTAAAGAAACAGTTCGCGCGGGAATTACTTGCCTTAATTCCTCCCTCGCTTCTCCACCTTCTGACAATCATAGTTATTGATATTCCACGCATTCCAGCCGAGCGATTTGTATATTAACAACTATACTCGTAGTTATTAGCTATTATAACAAAGCCTGCTTAAAGACGCGTCTTCTATGAGGCGAAGTATATGGGAAAAAGTTAACTTCTCGTAAGGAGAAGCTCCAGCGTTTTCCCGAGAGAAGTAGGTCTTAAGAAAGACTGAACTACCTCATCATCACTACATTAGGGAAAGGCAAATACATTTTTAATTTCTGCTTAACGAACTAGCATGTCTTAGAAATTATAACTGTTTAAAACGCTAGAAATGCTTACAACAGGATAGCCCATGTCCAACATTGGACCTGTGCGAGCTGATGAAAAAGAAGGTATACGATATATTAAGAACGGTAGTGACACACCTTTTATAGTATAACGACCGCTTTCTCTGTTCCATTTTAAGATCTATCATCCCCGAACGCCACACACTACAGTAGTGCCATCCTGTGTCCAAAGCACGAGGCGATGCTGGAGACTTTGTCAGACCCGCAGACCGCTACTTCGCCTTATTGGGGCCTGCACACCACCGTGCCGTTCTACGTCGCAATCGTGGTCTTCCCGCTGCTTAACTTCGCTAACGTCACGTTCTTCACTAAATTCAATGCCCTGGGTAAGTAGTATCATTCATTCATCATCAGAACTACATCTTATCAAAAGTCCACTACTGAACAGCTTTCCCCGTAGATTGCTTGATAGGGAGAGTTCGCCATATTTGTCGCATTTGGCAGGCAGTATGGAATGGAAGGTCACCTCTTCGACACTCACGGAATTATATTGGGTCGTAAATATTCTTACACCGTCATCACTCGGTTACCGGTGAACACTATCATAAGTGGAGATTTTCCCTATCAGCACACCTGACAATAAATAATTCTTAGATAACAGTACGCACATGAAAATAACGGATATTAAAAAATACGACTATGAAAAATTACTCTGCTATAAATATAGAAAATGATAAAAACATACATGGCGAAAGGGGGAGAATCTCTATTCTCCCCCTTTCCATAGACGACCAAACCAAACTACAATTAATGCTACGTTTAATTACTGACAGTCGTGCTATTTATGATGAACGTATTTACATGAAATTAATTTTTACGGATTTTATCGCATTTTTATTAAACTATTTAATTCCTGACGTTTCGGGTGCTTTACAGCACCCGTGGTCACGGGGGAGGGGGGGACTGAGGTGTTTGACATCCCGATGTCATAGTTAGTCCGGCTACCTTCAGTTTTTGAATATTATTTTTTGGTCCGATCTACGCAGAACGACGCTTACAGTATCTTGAAGTCTTACAGTGGTATGCTTGGGTTTGGATTTAATTTTATTAGTTATAGGATCCGAAGCAGATCTTCTCTGTTGACATTAGGATGTTTTTTTTTAATTTACTTAATTTTCATTTAATGTGTAGTCTTCGCGTAAATATAAGAAACCATTATATGAACGTATTTGCTTATGATTGTGGCGTAAGTTTTACAAAAAACCAGTGTTTAGTGGGGTTTAACCGCGGCGCCCACCTAAGCTACATGATTTCGACATGGCTTGTAGCATGATTCTGACGATACTCTGACGTGACCACGGGTGACACTGCTTGCGCCAACCTGTGCAACAATAGCATATCGCAGAATTCAGTTCGAGCCAAAATGTCGTCTGAAGAAGATAAACATGCCCTTGCTATGCTACAGATTTCGAACATTCCAAGTGCCAGCAAAAGATTTCGAGTACATGCTTTGAGGAAAAAAATTGAAAATTGGTGGTACTTTCAATGCTATGAAGGAATTAGAATTATATTTTGCATAGGCAAGTCACTATATGTTGCAAGAAGTATCTTGCGAATTCCTGTTAATGTAATCGGGTCTAGAACAATCATATTGTATACATGGCCTTTCATGAAAAGAAAAAAAGCTTGGTCGCCTTTCATTTTGTATAGACAAGTCACTGCAAGTTACGTGTTACGCGCCACTTCAATGCGTCACTAGTAGCAAGCTGAATGGCACGTCAGGTCATGTAGCATCACGCCACGCTAATGGGCGCTACTCCATACAATCTCTTTGAATGTTGAGGCGAGTGACAAGTTACGCGTCAAATCACGCGTCAGATCACGCGTTACGTTTCTTAGGTGGACGCCGCGCTTTAATTGGGAAAGACATTTGATTGAAAATTCCCTCCAAAAACATTGAACATAAGTTAACCCAGACTACTAGCTTTACTGAAGCAAGACGTTTGCCCAGCGTGGTATGGGTCACTTGAAGCAACTTTCAAATAATGCATGCCAACTGGCGTATTCTTGAAGTATAATAAAAAGGGTGAATAGAGATAAGAACGAAATTGGGGCAATATTGAATAACATAATTTGTCGTCTCCGACACCGCCATCATGACCTCCGAACGTATCGTGTAAGTTTTACAACACTGACTGATTCGGTGTTATACTGGGTGGCGATTAGGTTATCACATTAAATAACACAGCGGTATATACAACTTCATATATGTCGATTAAAATAATATAATAAACAATTCTACCAAAAATAAAAAAATGCATCCTTCAAACAAAGTAAATAGCGTAAAAATTGACACGAAATGAATCACCTTTATAATATTAGTTTACTGACCTAAAGCCAGACGTGATATGTAAAAGCGGCAACGGTGTGACAGGTACGCGGTGCTCACGCGGCGTCGACATAGGCAATTATTTACCTACATTTTCCCGTTCATAGGTAATTAGGCAAAAAACGAAAAAAGAGCTATTGCGATAGGAAGATCGTAACTGAAGGATTCCTTTTTAAATGAGACTTATAGGTAGTGCTATTAAAAAAGATTAAAAAAATCTTTTCGATTTTGAAAATAATACAAACAGCAAATCATTCACAAGCCAAGGTACAAAGATGATCATAGTTGACTGTCTATCTATGCATATATTCCCGGCAGTGCAACAATAAGATATACATATATGACCGTAACGAACCTTTTCAACGTGGTAGAGCCATGTTGCACCTATATTAGTAGTATAGTTGTAGCACGAACGGGTCGGCTCGACCGGGGAAGGACTACACTCTCACAGAATACCAGCGTAAAATAGCAGCTTAACACTGCTGTGTTTCATATAGTGAGTGTAGAGAACCGGAGACCCTTTTTACTGGAAAAGAGGCAATCCATCTTAGTTCTCACGGGTGACAACGCATCAGCATTTTGATTCGTAATCGAGGGTAGATGTAGATGTTTACGGGCTACAATAGCCACTTACCACTGTGTCGGGTACACTGAGTGCTCGTTTGTCACCCTTATCCTATAAAAATAGAAATGTTTGTATGAGTTTGTTGGTTGCGTTGTTCAGGCACGGTGTCGGTGGGGTACCTGGTGGTGTTCGTGGTGAGCAAGGGCGCGGCGTGGGGCGCGCACGCGGCGGCGGCCGGCGGCGCGGGCGCGCACGCCGCCGCGCTCAGCGGCATGCTGGCGCTCTCCTTCTACATACACAACATCATCATCACCATCATGACTAACAACCAAAAGCAGGAAAACAATGTAAGTATACCTCTATCTCTGTCTCACAAAATAGCAGCTTAATGCAAATTTTGGCGGTAACTTGACCGAGGGCGGATTGTAGCTTCTGTTTTATCATATACCAACTTTTGTCCGCGACTTCGTTCGCGTAGAAGAAAATGGTTTTAGTAGGGTTTTTGTTGGTTTTTTTACGTTATTAATTTTGTTATAACATATAAATTATATGTGTAGGGGTTTAAAGGTTAAATAAAATGAAAATAAAATAAAATTTTATTATATTTTACGAACACGAAGCGCGACCTTTAATCTGTAGAAAGCTAGAAAGTGACACAGTGGTATTATCTTTTTACAACGAAATCGAAATACACTACACCTACCGCAGTATTTCATGGTAAACAATATTTTTTGTTTTTCCTTCGGGTGCTTGAATCACTAGGCTACTCTGTGCGCTTACTCTGGAACATGCCACATACATCTGACTGTGGGAGAAGCAGCTTTCTCTCAAGTCTACCTTAAGAGTTTGACCCTGAGCTTTGTTTATGGTTATGGCGAAGCAGACTTTGATAGGAAACCGCACTCTGTTGAATTCGAAGGGGTAATTTGAGGGTGTTAGGGGAATCCTTAGAATAAATACAGACTCTCCTAGAGAACAACCTGTCAGTATGCAATGTTTTCACTTTCAATCTGGTGCCATTGCATAATTTTGGTGGATTTATATTGCGCAGCAACATAGCGCGCCAACTCTCAATTTTAATATGTGTTGGGAGACCGGGAGGCTTCAGGAACTCGACCGGATAATGAATGGCATCATCGGTATTTAGGTATCACTGAATCGACCGTCGATATATATATATATATATATATATATATATATATAGTCCGTCGATAATCGATAATAAATATATTCGACCCCTTCGAGTGATCTGAAAAGTATTTCGTTTATGACTGAGGCTTGTTCGTTTTATGGTGTTAGGATATGGCACGCTCGCATAACCATTCTGCAAGTTTATCATGAATATTATCGATGTTTGGGTAGATTTTAGCTATAAGCTCTTCTACAGTGGAAACTATTGTTCCTAACTCTGTAGGCAGAATCATATTATTATCCAGATCTGGGAAATCACCATTTCCTATTTTAAGCAACAGGTCTGAAAACTTTCCGGCAGTAACATCTCCCCTAAGATGGACTCTCATATTTTTGGTAAGGCTCAGTTTTGTCACTGAAGGCCACAAATGAGATCGCTTCACGCACGCTATAACTTCGCCCGCTCGCGTTCCTCTGGGCACTACTGATAATTTCTGCCGGAAATCGCCTGCTAACAATGCAGTAACTCCTCCCATTTGACAATTATTATTCCTAATATCTTGTAAATATCTATTTAGGGCTTCGAAACTCCCTTTATGAGCCATAGTACTCTCATCTCAAACAATTCATTTCGTTTTGCGGAGTAATTCTGCCATATTACTTTGTTTGGGTATATTGCAGAGTGGGGTTCCGTTTTTATCAAATCGAGAGGAAGTTTAAACGCGAAGTGTGCAGTTTTACCTCCTTCCAGCAGAGTGGCAGCTATATCACGATTGCCTCTCACTTTGACCAACAGTAAATTGAATAGAAAAGCCTTGCCTGTTCCACCAGGTGCATCCAAAAATCCAATATCCAATAGCATCCAAATATCACCTACACCTGCGTCAATACTGGAAAGTATTTTCTAATAGATACGTCTTTATTCATTTGTTAGAGAGCCTTCACTACTTGATACCAGTTCTGCTAAGGAATTGACATCGTAACTTGTTTCCTTCAGGTAGTCCCGGTTATTGTGTAAGCCTTCGGACTTTTGAGGCTGAGGCAACCCGTACTGCTGTAAGATTTGTCCTCCTAATGCTAATACAGTTTCACCTATTGTGATCAGATATTAATTGTAGATTTCGTTTGCTAGATGTTCATCTATAATGCCAGAAATCTTTTCCACTTGTCGCTTGTAGTCTTCTGATAGGCAATCCCTGTATTTTACCCAAAGACTTAGTGCGTTTGTAATCTGACAGAATGCCAGCAATATAGAAAAAAGTTCACGCATTTTAAATGGCGACTCGTATAGGGCTGCTTCCTCTAGGGCAGAGTCCCAATGTTTGTCGTCCTCTAGCCAGCCAAGTTTCATGCAAGCTAATTGAAAAGTTGGTTGGAGAACACCGTTAACAGTCTTCAAGTCATCGAAGGATGATGGATCCTTAACCTCGTGCAGAAGTAAGCGAAGATGGTAACAGTCTGTGTTATTCGGGTAAACCGTGTACACTCTACCTAGAGCGTGTTCTTTCATTATTCCTGACCAGCCTTCTACGGGTTTTCCTCTTTTCCTTCTCGCAAATTAATTTTTTTGCCATACAAAATATGAAGGCACTTCCGCATATAGAAGGGTTTTAGCAAAATCATATGTTTGACATAAATAAAAAAATGCTAACAGTGTCGTTTTTGGTGGGCTATTACCTTTGTCGGCGAGGTTGTCGGAATTAAAATAGACTCATTGGCCATTTTCAAGGTGGCTATGGTAGTATGACTGCGAGAAACCTTTCATGTATGGAAAACCCTAAAATCCTCCAAACTGTCTCCGAACTACTCAAATAACACCCACTCTTATTATCTTTCATACAGGGAGAATTATTATTAAGGTTCCCACATGGACCGTGTATCATATCTTTTTTAATTATGTCGTATAAAATAGGGTCTTCATTTGGATTTGGTATCTGAGCACATATAAGTTCATCCACCATGTCAGGCGAAATGCGGCTAACCATCCACAACAATGTGTGTATGTGAGGCAGACCCCGTTTCTGTCATTCGGTAGATAACATGAAACAAGGTACCTCTCCAAATATTTTCCCTATGGTTAGAAGTGTCATTATTTTCTTAACTTTGAGGTGAAAAACCCTAGCTATTATATCGTGTCTATCATAACTTTTTTATCCAGGCAAAAGCACCTCTGTGATATCATCCCTTTGATTGGACCAAGGAATCACGTTGTCCCATATAAACTTTGCCCACGGTTTTCAACCCCTTAGCGGTAGAATTTCGGAAAATACTTTCTTATCTGGTGCTTACGTCATACAAAGAACACACCCTCGAAGTTTCAGGTCTCTACGATCAGCGGTTTAGGCTGTGCGTTGATCCGTCAGCCGTCATTCAGGACAAAGCATTTTATATGTACATAGAAGATATAATGGTTCAAAGTGAATTTTGATACGCAAAAGTGAAGCGATTTTGTATATTGGGTGTCTTTAAATTTGATGCAAAATGTCGATTCAAATTCTATATATTTGTACGGGCCACTTTTTTGTAGAACTTCTTCGTTTACTGTATGAAGTTCAGTGTTTTATTTTCGCCAATGAAATAATCGCTTACCGATTACCCTACGTGGCTTATCTTAGTCGGAAAAGGTGTAACGTTTTACGTTTTTATTGTTATACATTTATTTATACAGGTGTAAATTCAATATAATTTCGCGCAAGCGGAGGTGGGGCGAGGCCCATAGCAATTGCTACTCTTGCTATGTGGTTAATTAGGGATGCGCGAGTGGAAAACATTTAATATCGATATTTTGAAACAGTATTAAACGTGGTAGAGCCATGCTGCAGCTATATTAGTAGTATAATTGTAGCACGGATGGGTCGGCTCGACCGGGGAAGGACCACGCTCTCACAGAATACCAGCGTAAAATAGCAGCACGCTGCTGTATTTCGTATGGTAAGTGTAGAGAACCGGAGAACCTTTTTACTGGAAAAGAGCCATTCCATTTTAGTCCTCACGGGTCATAACGCATCTGCATTTTGATTCGCAAACGAGGATAGATGTAAATGTCTATGAGCCACAGCAGCCACTTACCATCAGGTAGACTGTGTGCTCGTTTGTCACCCTATCTTATAAAAAAAGAACAGTATAAATAATTATCACGTATTAAATATCGATATACCGTAATGTTTTGCATGATGTAGAAGGATGAGGGCCTAAATTTTATTACTAGTCGTTTTGACGACAAAAAAATAACAGCATATGATACTGCTTTTGTTTTATTTATTAAATTATAAAATAAATATACATTAACATGTTAAAATATATCAATATTGTTACCAGTTCAATACTCTAAAATAAATATCGATGATATTGTGAGAAAATATCGATATTTCGATATATCGATATTTTTACCCAAGCCTATGTTTGGTCCGGCACTGCATTTGAACTGTTACTAGAGGGAACAAAGCGGGTGCTCCGATGTTGATATAATTACTTTAATTATTTTGTACGCTAAAACGCCTCAAGGTCCGCCACATCATACGGAATTTCGTTTCGGGATTTTGTTTCGGAATTCCGAACGGGTCGGCCCCACATCGGATATCGAAATATCGAATATCTATAATAATCGGAATATCGAAACGGAATCCAGAAACATAATTCCGTATGTATGTGGCGGGCCTAAGTACATGAGATACTGTCCGCTGAGTTAATCTGTTGTCAAAATCTCTCACGAACTTCACAATGTTACGCATCAGCCTATTGTAAAGAAGTTTTCGAAACAAAATAATATAAAGGATAAATTAATATAACTTGACTTAAAAATGTAAGAATAACAGCTTAGTGCTGTTGTGTTTCGTATGGTGAGTGTAGAAAATCGATGGCACTATTGGAAACGACGCATTCCATATCAGTCCTCAAGGGTGAGAACGCATCTGCATTTTGAAAATAGAATTAGGTGTCTATGGGCCACAGTATCCACTTACCATCAGGTGGACTGGGTGCTCGTTTGTCATCCTTCTGTAAAAAAAGTCATATTGCGCTTGCACTCATGGCCCCGGGCGGCAAATTTTAGGGCTGACATTTAGAATTCTTTTTTTTTAATATGATACCAATACAATTAACTAAAAATTTGCTGGATAATGCACAGTTTAAATTTGTTCGTTTTCAGGGCAGGGATTTGACGATAGCCTTTCTACTCGTGACTATTACGTACACGTTGGTCGGCGCCGTGTTCTACGTCTGTTTTCCACTCGACAAGTCGTGCATTGAAGATGTAAGTTTAGGTAGTTATTGCCTGCAGTTCTCCTCTTAGCGGGATTCGCCTTTGGTTACAGAAAAACTTCATCAGATAGTTATAATAAGCAACCAAAGTTAACAAGTATGTTTATAAAATAGTAATAAAGATAGTAATCCCTTAAGTCCGTACGTATTAGTAAGCTGAAGTGGCAGTGGGTCAGTCATGTGGCTGCAACCGGCAATCGATGGGGAAAAAAGGTTCTCGAGTGGCGGCCTCATACCAGCGGACTAAGTGTAGGGCATCCTCCCACTAGATGGAGTGACGACCTGTTAAGACATGCAGGAAGTCGAAGGATGCAGGTGGAGGTTTTTTTACAACTGATTTAAACGAGATAAAAGGGAATATAATCACTGAACGAGTGTACCGCCATCTATCGGAGTTCAGTAGGTTGAGATGTGGACAGCATGGTAAACTTTTACGACACGCACGCACTATGTGTCGGTCATTTGCAGAGGCGTGGACTAATGTAGACGTGGGCAAAGTCGCGTCAGCGAGGCCCCTTTTCTTTCGTTCCCAAGATCTACCCAATAGATCTTTCCCGCCAAACATGCTTTGATACGACATAGCTACACTCATAGCTATTAATTCCTGACAAGTCTCGTATTCCGTCAATTTAACGGGCGCAGTCTTTGAAAGTAGTTACAGCAGCCCTTCTTGCGGGGCACCAAACATACACGCTTTTAAATTTGTAAAAATCGCAAGTGATCAAATTAATTAGTCATCTATGTCCAAAGGGCACAGAGAGCCAGTATAATAAATGGCGGTGAGGCTATCCTCAGATGTGGTAGAGCCACACTGCAACTATATTATGGTTGTAGCACTAATGTGTCAGCTTGACTGGGATATCACCACACTCTCACAGAACACCTGCATAAAGTAGCAGCCTAATATTAATGTGTTTTGTATTGTGTGTGTGTGTATGTGTGTGTGTGTGTGTGTGTGTGTGTGTGTGTGTGTGTGTGTGTGTGTGTGTGTGTGTGTGTGTGTGTGTGTGTGTGTGGGTGTGGGTGCGTGTGCGTGTGCGTGTGCGTGTGCGTGTGTGTGTGTGTGTGTGTGTGTGTGGTGCATGCACTCGATAATTGTCGCTTCAGCTTACTGATCAGTGTAAATCAATTACAGCCTATAAATGTTCACTGCCGTACATGATCGGACACGGTTTCCCGATAGATCGCCTCATATGGGGGGTTTATACTATAGTTACTACGCTTAACAGACGGTTGGTAACCAGTTTTTTTACAGTTTTGAGTTGTAATCCTGTTTTCTTTTTGCTTTATATCCTATTTCAGTTGCCCTCTATAGCTTCTCACGATACCCATAGGATGATATTGGGTAGTGGATATCGGAGATTTATTATCCGACTAGCTGTTCTCTACGACTTCGCCCGCGTGTTATTTGGGGTGTTAATTTTTTCTTGCGCGGAACCCTAATTCTTTTTCTAAAATAAAGGTAGCCTAAGTTACTTACTCCTTGTAACATCAGCTATCTGCCAGTGAAAATCCCGTCAAAATTGGTCCAGCCGTTTCGGAGATTAGCCGGAACAAACAGACAGACAGACAAAAACTTTAAAAATTGTATTTTTATATTAGTACAGTATATACTTTCATATAAATTTAGTAAAAAGCTGTAATTTTGATATTACAAACAGACACTTCAATTTTATTTATCTATATAGATAACGGAGATTTACTATGACGTTATAAGAATATCTTACACTGTCACTGTAAATCTTCGTTCTGTGTAAACATCTCATGTGAAATTAAACAGTTTGTATATAATTTCTTTTCCAGAATATACTGAATAACTTTGAGATGCACGACGTGATGACAGCCGTCGCAAGAGCACTCCTACTATTTCAAGTAAGTTAAATATACATTTTACAAATGTAACGTTAAATACACAGAGAGAAATCTAATTCGCTGCATTGCCTTAAATTTTTTGGCACTAATGGTGTAGGTAGTCGTCAGCAGCGACGACCAGTCGCAGATACAGTTCCTCTAGGAACTTCACCGCATGTGGATCCTACGGACCGATAGTCTCTACAGCAAATAGCACAAACATGTAGTCATCTCTCAGAGTTAGTTACCAAATGGAAAGTTTGCTCACTGTGTAAGAACATTGTGAAAACAGATTCTCTTAATCCGACGACAATACAGGAAGACTTACATCACCTTATTGTCTTTCCATAAGTGCCGAATCTAGGAGGCCACTATGCGAAATGTCAGAAAGACCTTGTGCCCACGTATAGATGGCAGTATAACGATCTCATTTATGCCAGGCGTAAAATACCAACACTGGCAACACCGGCAAGCAAAACACAAATAAATTACATATGTTTTCACAAATAACAGAATTGTTATACCTAAACATTTAAGTCAACAAAAATACACAATAATTTAAAATTAAAAATTTTGTATAACACACTTCAATATAAATTATTAAGAATAACTCAAAAACTATTGGTCAGACCTTGATCAAATTTATATGGGTTCACATGAGAAGAACGAGCTTTCAAATATAAAAGGAATCATCGAAATCGGTTCACCCATAAAAAAGTTTGATACACATAAAAAAAGAACATACAGTTGAATTGATTACCGTCTCCTTTTTGAAGTCGGTAGAAAACATTATGGACAGTATCAGTAGAAGAATAATTATATAAATATAAATAATAACTTAAATAAAACATTATGTAATATATAAATATTATATAATTTTTTCACGTGGTAGAGCCAAGCTGCAGCTCTGTTTATAATATAGTTGTAGCACGAATGGGTCGGCTCGACCGGGGAAGGACCACGCGCTCACAGAATACCAGCGTAAAATAGCAGCTTAACGCTGCTGTGTTTCGTATGGTGACTGTACAGAACCGGAGACCCCTTTAACTGGAAAAGAGGCATCCCATCTTAGTCCTCATGGGTGATAACGCATCTGCATTTTGATTCGCAAACGAGGATAGATGTAGATGTCTAAGAACCACAGCGACCACTTACCATCAGGTGAACTGTGTGTCGTTTGTCACCCTATCCCATAAAAAAAAGTTAGAAAGTTGTTGGTGTTTCATCTCTGGACTTTGGAAAGCACGTAAATCCGTTGGTCCTGCGCCTGATCTATCTTCAGTTGTGTCGGATTACCGTCCCATCGCACTATGAGAGTAAGGGAATAGAGTAAGCACCTGTGCCTGCGCAATACACTCGGCCACTACAATCCTGTTCTACACTGATGGCTAGTTTCCGTTGAGACCACCGCCGTGACCGAAATTTGGTTTTATTAACGCGAGTTTCCATTGCAGGTGATAACGGTGTACCCGCTGGTTGCGTTCATGCTGCGATCTGAAGCGATACTTCTGCTGCCGTTTCGTGAGACGCGCTGCCTCACTGTCTGCATCAACGCTATTATTGTGGCACTCTGTATTCTCGTTGCCTGCCTCTGTCCAAATATCGGGACTATTATTAGGTGAGTTTCCGATGATGCTTTTTAATTATAAAACGTCAAAGAGACTGCTTGGTAAAGCAATAAGTTTTTTTTGGATTGAATAAGGGTGACAAACGAGCGCAATGTCCACCTTATGGTAAGTGAATTCTGAGGCCCATAGACATCTACATGTATCCTCGATAAGAATCAAAATGCAGATGCGTTGTCACCCCTGAAGATTAAGATGGGCCAAGGTGTAGTTTCCAGTAAGAAAGGTTCTCTACACTCACCATACGAAACACAACAGCATTGAATTAGTATTTTAGGCTGGTGTACTCTGAGAGCGTGGCCTTTCCCCGGTCGAGCCGACCCAGGTGAGTGTAGATCAGCGTAGACCCATTTTACTGGAAAAGAGGCATTCCATCTTAGTCCTCACGGCTGACAACGCATCTGCATTTTAATTCGCAAATGAAGATAGATGTAGATGTCTATGAGTCACAGCAACCACTTACCATCAGGTGGACAGTGTGCTCGTTTGTCACCCTTATCCAAAAAAAAAAAATAAGTCCTGCTCGGTTTCTTGCTGGTTCTTTCTAGGACAGAGGTATTTTTCCGAACCAGTGGTTAAGTAAAAAAATTACATTCAATAGGAATTATTATTAATCTATATTGAATAAAAAAAATATTATATTATTCTAAGTTAGGTATGTTATATTGTTTAGATATACCGGCGCAGTGAGTGGCTTGGTCCACGTCTTCGCGCTGCCGTCGATGCTGCAAGTCCGCTCTCTGCAGCTGCGCGGGAAACTCACCTTCTGGAAGGCAACGCTTTACTTCTTGATCGTCCTGTTCGGCGCTGTCAACCTCTTAATGCAGTTCTTCATCAGCGAGTAGATTTTATTACTGATATTCAATTTCCCAGGATCTCACTATTTTAGGTGTCACCCTTTAAGGGACACATAATTGTATAGTTTTCGTTTTAAATTTTGTATAGACTATTATTGTATAAGTGATTTTTATCCATTAGTTCTAGCTTATTATCAAAGTGCAGAATGTGTAATTTACGTTTTTAAGATCTGTCTTGGTGGACGGAGTTATTTTTTTTTATTTTGACTAAATTGAAATCAATGTCTGATGTCTTTATAAAAATTTATTACTTAAACATAATATATACATATATTATGTAATTTAATGTATACTTGCGATAAATGTCACTTGGTGAAATCAAAGACTTTTATGTATACAGGGTTATTTTGCAATAACCGGCCAAAGAACATCGGTCACGGCCCATACATGCTGTGACCTGGCTATAAAATATCGCAAACATGACTAGTGTATGGATTAATCCGTTCCCCCTGGGCACAATCTTAATCCTAAATTGAAAATAATATTATTTAAGGCCGAGGATCATAGAACGTTACACTTATGTATTACGTCACTTTTGAGGTTATGATGTAGCCATGACTGCAGTCATGATTACAACCTCAGCTAAAACAATTGATATGAAAACTATGCCGTAATATATACTTAACTAAAAAAGTCAAGTCAATGGCTAAAACCACAAAAATGAATCAATAACCTTTCTAATCTTTTCACTGCTAAGTATCTAAGACACAGGTGCTTTGACTTTTGTTCACGCTCTGACAACACTCGTGTCATAAATCATAATACCACAGACTGCATAGAGACACTCATAATACGTTCCGTTCTAAGTATTAGTGCATTCTATAGTTAATGTCAACCTATCATTTGCAACTTATTTCGGAATACATTCCATATCCCCATCTAAAAATGATATTATTGATAATACACTACAAAAATAAATAAAAAATCTACAATAGAATCTAATATTTAAAAAAAGTAAACGCGTAATGTAGTGTTTCTTTAGTGTTATGATGAAATGTGTACCACATATAAAAACGGAACGGGTTTAGATGCGTTCAAAAGCTATAAAAAGTAGTAAGTTTTTCATTACAAAGCTAAATTATTTTACCGGGTCCAATAAAATAAGTTGAACCCCGTAATTTAATATACACCTAAGTCACTATTCTTTGACGTATTAATCATTGGTGGTCGTTTCATATTTTGGTCAGGTCGTATCTGACCGATGTTCTGTAGAGAAGGTTCAGAATAAGTAATATAGGCAAATGGTGAAGAACAATTAATTAATAAAAAACTCAATAATTCTTTGCCTTTTATCTTTTAAATTCAAAACGCATAGTAATGCATTATTTTAACTGATTCTACTGATCACGCACACATTTTGTAAGGGTCGATCGGTAGGCAAAACGTCGTTGCCCAATCACATTCATTTTGGGATAATCTATATAAATAAAATGATAGAGGTTTGCAGTTAAGCGCGCATCACGGAAAAACTACTGGATAGATTTCAATTAGGTTTTCTAAGTTTTATATCTGAGACAGTACCCTTAACCGACGAGCGTGTATGCGTAAATATATGGATGTAAAGGAGGCGAGAGAAGTGTGTCAGGATCGCGCCAAATGGAAGTCCGTAGTCTCTGCCTACCCCTCTGGGTGACAGGCGTGAGTGTTTGTATTGTATTGTATTCCTGAGACACGTGTGGACCTTTCTAAAAAAAAAAAAAATATTGCGAATCTTCATTTAATATAAAGTTATTAAAGTTTTAAAAAAATAACGATTTTTATAAGCACTATGTGTTCAGTGATCTGTGTAAGCAACGCAGACGAAGTCTCGGGTTTCAGCTAGTTTCAAATAAAAGTAGAACCCTTATGTATTCTTATTTTCAAAAAGTGCAATAACGGTATATCATTATTTATATATAAGTTTGAAATTTGGCTACGGTTTGAAAAATAGTCCTGTATATATACTACTAGACCAAAAAATGTATTTATGTTTGAGTGTAGCAAAATTCAGAAAAAAAAACTGTCTCACAGTTGTGGATCGGGCGGGCGAGTAACCGGCATGCTAAATATGTCACGCAGTTGTATTTTCATTAACAACAGACACTGTTTTTAGGCAAATACGAAATAAAGTTACATACTTATCTGAAATAAATTTCAAATTGCATGGACAAAGTGCGCACATAAATAATAACAGCGTTTTCTTAGTCACATTAAATAAAAATCAGTGTTAGATTGTCTAAAATAACGTTTGCGGTTTACAAAACAAAGAACTAGTCTTGTCGCCTGCTCGCAATAGACTAAAAGAGTTACGGAGAATTGACCGTAACTTAGTGCGCAATGAATTAATTCCGGAGAATCCGTCTAGTGGCATACATAAAAGTCTTTGGATGAAACTTCTTCATTTTTTGTGATTTTTGTGACTTGTTTGAAACAAGTACATGTTTCAATCCAAATTATTAAAACAGAAACTGATATCTGGAATATTACATTTCAAGCTGTAGGTTCTAAAGCAACGTTGTTATATATGATTAGATTATCGGACGAATAACTCGCCGAAAAACTAGCAGAGTTTATCGTGGACGAGAACGGCGCGTTTACATATTCCTCTGTATTCATTCAATTTAGATTTATTTAAGCATGGATGACGTAAGTCTCTTTGCTACGACTTTGTGTCTACTTAAGTTGTATAGACACATAAATAATAAAAAAAAGAAAAAAGACGACAACGTAGATGATGGATGACCGCTGTTAACCGCAGCCGAAACCGACTTTCGCTCTTGTGATATTCTTAATTTGATCTAAACCGAGTATCAACTTATATTTTTTTAATATATTTTTTACAGACAGGGATTATAATTAACCGTTATCATTTATAACGGTTAAATGATAGTTCACGGGTCAACTGAACAATGACGAGTATGTAAACACCAATACGAATACGTACAAATAATTCTTTGATTCGCGCTAAAAACCGACATCGAGTGGAGAACAGGCGAGTCCTCGGGTCGAGTAGCGCTCGGCGAGTATAACATTGCATTACACTTTTAACCCTCTCAGAAATGAGAGGCTTGTCCCAAGATTGGCGGCAGCCTTATTTTCGACCACCGCGTACAGGAGTGGAATATTTTCAAGTTGTTTTCAGCAGTACTGTACCGCGAATTACATCACCGAGAAATCGGATAAGTCTGGTGTGAAACGACGGGCCCTGTTACTAATTGCGCTGGCAAGAGATCTCGCACAGCACAATGCAAATCATTAAAAAAAATACTCGGTCATAAATATTCCATTTCAAGCTTTAGACTATAAAGGCACTTCGACAAGATCAGTAGCGAGTTAATAGCGCCCTTTCGCGCGTCGCCCGCCACGCGCAACTAAACTCACCGCTCATGTGAACGAGCGAGTTTAATTCATTGCGTACGTAAGTTGACAGGATGCAACGAGTTCGAGTTCGACCATCAAAATATAAAATTGTACTTTTGTTAACAAAGCTCGCCACGAATACATTTGAATGCTATTGCCCACTTAACCGATTACTGTCTTGACGACAACGGTCCTGTAACTAAACTCGGTACTGTACTTCTCGAAGTGTAAATCGGCCCAAACAGTCTTTGTCAAGCGTTGTTTCTATCGCAAGGAGTACTAACTCGCCAGTATTTATTAAGATATAAAACGTCTCCCATCTTAGTAATGAGTGGATCTAGAGTTAAAGTTTAGAGCAAAGAGGTCTGAAATGAGAAATAAGGTATGAGACTTAAGTTTTCTTACATCGTTTTTTCATTACGATGTAAGATCTGGTAATAAGATAGGTATTACAAAAGATTTTTGGCTGAAAAGAGTCGTAACTCCTATGACACTCCCCTTGAATCCGCTTGTCAGTATTGAATAAAAATGCATTAATAAAATACAAATCTACCAATTCTTATATTCTTAGAAGTTGAACCACAAAGTGGAACCAATCAACCTAATCCTAAGAAACTTGTGACATGTGAATGTAGATGACAGAGACAACGCTCTTTATAGCCAAAACTAGCCGACTGTTTTTAAGGGGCCGCCTCCACGAGCGACAGAATCGCCACGAGTCCGCGTCCTGTATGCGTCCGAGTTCTATCGTCGGGGAGTCTCCACGAATGAGCGATTATTCCGACAGCGTATTGTCGCGAACGGAATCGCCGCGCGTCCGCGAAGACTCGTAACGGAATCACCACGTTTCCGCGGCGAGGCCTTATGCAATAGTTTTATCATATCGCCGCGCCCACGTTCCGATACGATGACGTTTCGCTCGCATTCCGCCACTCGTCGCATCACCGCGATAACATCGCCGTGTGTAGACACGTTCTAAGAGTGTAAGTGAGAAATACGTGGCACGACGATAATATCGCCGCGATTCCCTCGCTCGTGGAGGCGACCCCTAAGTCTCCATGTATAAACTAGACTTCTTGTATACTTATTATACTCTTTGAACTAGACTTTGCCATATATATATAAAAAAAAACATGTTTATTTTTTGTATTATACGTTTTGAATAGACAAAATTTATATTGTGTAATATAAAAGCTGTATAGATTATTTTATAAAAATCAATTAAACGTGAAATGTTTGTCTAGTCATAGTTTACAAATAAAACTATCTTCTAATTTTTTTCGCATTTATTTTATCAATATGTAATTAAAATATCAAAACATATATAAATATTTTTTAAATGTTTTTAATAAGTTTTAAAACTGATTTCATTTACATTTTTGTGTAAAAATGTTAAGAATACAGTTATAACATAAATATTCATAAATTTATTTATAAGGTACAAAAATATGATGCTTACTATAACAACATTTCTTAGACACTAAAAACAAAAATTGTTATCAAAAGTTCGGACATTGCGACATGGTTATGCCAACGTAGTAGGGGCGAGAATATTAAAAAAAAAATGTTGGCACACATTTTTAACAAATATTTACGATGACTAAGCGCTTTTTTCTCACTATAACAAAAATAAATAGTTTATGACAATAACAAGTTGTAAGCACACTTGTAACGCCCTCAACCAATAAAATATGAACATCATAAGTAACCTCTCGTCGAATCAATCTCTTGGGAATTTTAAGTAATTCGATATCTACTGACGAAGAAAAACTGCCTAAAGTGTAGCGAAATTAAAAAAAAATTAAAACACTGACATATCTCTGCTGACATAATTTCATGGTCTTTGGTATTCATTTTAGAAAATAAAAAAATAAATGTAAAGGACAGTAGCTATAAGACAGCTCATATAAATAGGAACATATTGTCTTGTTTGAAAAAACTAAGTGGATTTTAAACCAATTTTTTCATTTTTAACTTATAATAGAGATAACATCCTACCAAAACCTATCCTAAAGGAATATGCAACAGTTTTCGGGCTTAACTAAAGTAATAACAACATAAACATTTAAACGATAGAGAAATATTTTTATACAGTTTGAAGAATGTAAATAAGTGTGAGTATTGATCTACGTGATGACGGTGGGCGCGGCTCTGCCGGTGTACTGGCGAAGCTGCGAGATGTCGAGAGCGACCTCGATCAGCGGCCGCAGCATCTGTTGCGCGTCTCCGCGAACCTCGGTCGCTTCGTACGAGTCTATGTACAGTCTGCAAATTCAAATTAAACTAGTTGTACAACGTTGTTGACCGTGTAATGGTGGGTAAAAATATCCCCTACTATACCAGCGTAAAATGGCAGCTTAACACTGCTGTGTTTCGTATGGTAAGTTTAGAGAACCGTGACCCTTTTTACTGGAAAAGAGGCATTCCATCTTAGTCCTCACGGGTGACAACGCATCTGCATTTTGATTCACAAACGGAGATTGTAGATGTCTATGGGCCACAGCAACCTTTTACCATCAGGTGGACTGTGTGCTCGTTGTCACCCTATCCTATAAAAAAGACAGTTTTAGAACCTTTTGAATAGTATTTGTGATTCAAAAACCGATTTTATTTTCTAGTAGTTTAAGTTCATATTTGTATAGATTGCAATAATTTGAAATTCTTCCTGTTCCGCGATCACGCCATACCATAATATATGCGAGTGACGGCTCTGTGGCGCAGTGGCATAGCAATGAGCTGCAGCGCTGAGGGCCGCGGATTCGAATCCCGCACGGAACAAGTATTTCTTTGGCCTACAAATAATTGTTCCCGGTCTGGATGATTGTCCTTGTGCAATTTATTTATGTTTTGAATTTTCTCCTGTATCGTGGAGGCAGTTTGCCTTCACGATACAGGAGAAAATTGTGCGTTTTAGTTACATGAACCTTCGGTGGTTGAGCCAAAATAAATGACTCATTAATGCTGGAGCTATATTAGTAGTATAGGTGTAGTACAAATGGGTCGGCTCGACCGGGGAAGGACCACGCTCTCACAGAATACCAGCGTAAGTTATAAGTGGCTCTACCACTTACTATAGATCTCTAAAGGCCACCACTATAACATCTCACCTGACGGTCGCGCCGGAACTTCCCGTGCCGCTTAATCGCAGCACAATACGAGATCCGTCCTCGAATATTATGCGAAGACCCTGCGAACAAGAAGTAAACAACTCTTAGTTTTAACAGACAATTTAAACAAGTGGTAAAATTAAAAAAATTGTACAACTGACTTCTAGATAAATAAAATGAGAACATCATAAATGTGGTCGAAGTCAATTAAATACGCATTATTAAGGTTAACTCAAAGTGGTCAGGATCTTGATCAAATTTATATTGGATCACAAGAAGCCCCAGCTTTCAAATAAAAAAAGAATCGTCAAAATCGGTTCACCAAGAAAAAAGTTCCGAGGTAACACACATAAAAATTTCAGTCGAATTGAGTATCTCCTCCTTTTTTGAAATCGGTTAAAAATGATAGATATGTATTTAATTACTTATATTTTGTTCTTCTCAATTCTTTTTGTCTCAAAAATATGTCACGTACGGACATACGCGTACAATTTACATCGTCACGACAGCCTCGGGACAATACGGGGTAGTGGATATTCTTACACCGTCACTACACAGAGGGAAAATGTAACAGGATATGGGCAGCAGAATCTTCCTGAAAACAACTCAAAATAATAATAAAAACTGAGGTTGCGAACCCACTTGCCAAACGTGGCAACTATGCCAAAATCCCCCCCTGAGGCAAGCTATATCGGAGGCTTATGTTCAACAGGGGACTTTTATAGGCTGAAACGGTATGTAATAAAACCGACTGTGAAACCACAATAAAAACACAAAGAAATGTAAACCACATACCTGCTTCATAGCGACGCTCTTGTCAATAGGGTCCATGTACGAGAAGTTGTCGGCCAACTTGACCACGTAGGTCTTGTTGCCGCTGCTGAAACTGGAGCCCACGAACCCTGGCGCTGTGATCTTCTTTTCCAGGGCTTGCATCATCTCGTTGCAGGGATCGCTGGCGCATTCTTCATAGTCGTATCTGATAAAAAAATCGACCATTGTTCTGTTTTTAATCTGTTTCACTATGTATCCTATATAATAATAATATAATAAACATTATTTACATAAAAGTGATTGTAGTACATGGGTGGGACATTACATTGTTAGTACCATCTATGAAAATATGATTTTCAATCCAGTGGATGTACCTCTGCTCTCCTAGCTAGATTACAGAATAATCTAAAGGAGTAATAGCCTCAATCCAAAAAAAAATAGTAGATATTATACGTATAAGTACATGCTTACAGTTGCAAGTATAATAATTTTTTTTAGTATAATAATTTTTAATTTATTTTTCTCACATAACTTATACATACATAAATCATATTGAAACTCTGTAGCCCGTGGTAGTTGAAAACTGTGTTACAGGCTACAGCGTCTTCCCCGTTTTCAGAGACACATATTTGTAATGTGGCAAACCAGCAAACAATATTAAATTTATATAAAATTTAAAAAGAATAAAAAATAAAAAAAAAAACAGTAACATAAAAACTAACTAAGTGCTACAATTATATCAATTTCTAGTTATTCAAATTATTAAACACAAAATAGAAAAATATGTGCGCGCGCGCACTTGTGTGTGTGCGTGAATGTGTGTGCGCGCGTGCACGTGCAAGCGCGGTATTATACAATCAATTTAAGTTGTTTTACAATCACTTTAGGTATTATTCTGTTTCGTCATAAGATTTGTTTTGAAGTTATGAGCGAACAGTCTTCTTGCAGTTATATGTATAGAGTGATAATCCATATATATTATACCACTTTTCGCTTATTTTATTGTAAAGAGATGGAACCAAGAAATAAAAAAATAATTTAGTAAATGATGAGCGAAATTGTAGGAGAGAACAAATTTTGTCTTTTTGATGAAAACTTATTTCCCTGTAAGGGGTTTTGCGGTGCTGCAAAAGTACAGTACGGTTTGTAGAATAAAAATGTTGCCGAACATTAAGGACGTTCCAGTCATTGTACAACTGATTAGTTGGGAATATGATTGGCTGGAAAGTATCCACTTTCAAAATGGCTCTATGTGCCACCTCCAGCTTCTTTAAGTTAGTTTTTGCAGCACCACCAGCAGGAAATACAATATGTAATAATAGATAAACCAAGGGCAAAATAAACTTTACGTATAATAGTAGTGTTAGCAATACTTCGTAGGGTTTTAAATATATAAATTAGAAAAAAATTCTTAAAAAAAAACTTAAAGGAAACCATTTTGTTGATACCAAACAGCTTTATATTTTTTAATAAAGCCCCGGGAAGCCACAGCCCATAGATGGGTACAGTATACCATGTGAGGCCGAATCTGCGCCTTGTAAAGTGGCAGGTGGAGTGCCGGCATAAAATACTGTTCCGCTCTGCTGAACGCGCCAAGCTTTTTAGATTTCAATTTGGCCTTCTCTTCCAAGTGAACACGGAATTGCACATCACTCGATATGTCGACGCCGAGGATTCCGATACTGGCTGAGGCAACAAGGGGAGTGCTTTGAAACTGAGGAAATGCTCCGATCTGCAAGAAAGCTGGTGATCCAATTGCATAATTTCTCGGGAAGCCCGTAGGACGGGAGCTTCGAAAGAAGCGCTTTGTGCCAAACCCGATCGAAGGCCTTCGCAATATCTAAACTAACGGCCAATGCCTCTCTTTTAGACTCTACTACCTCCGCCCATCTATAAGTCGAGTAAACCACAAGATCACCAATTGATCGATCCCAACGAAAACCGTATTGGCGGTCACTAATCAGCTGGTGGTCCTCAAGGTACCGTATGAGCCGGCAGTTTATAATGGATTCCATTATTTTGGAGAACAAGGAGGTGATGGTTGGTTTTCCGTGAATTCGAGACTACGCCTAGGGAGTAGGAATACCGGAAAGGACGCGTTAGAACCGGTGCCAACTCTGGATCACACGTCATCAGCTCAATTGGAGGGATTTTCAGGCGCACTCGACTTGTGAATGTCCAGAGAGAGGAGTGATATCAGTGAGAGTGAGGAGAGGAGAGATGAACCGAGGGCTGTGTGAACTGCACATCCGGTATGGAGCACTCACACCACGGGATGGTCGGCGGTGTCCTCCCCCCGTTATCGTGAGTCGATTTGGACGCAAAGAAAGAGCCTAGCAGATCGGCTTTCTCCTTTGAGGCATGGGCCAGTGAGTCGTCCTCCCTGTGCAGAGATGGAAGAGATGGCTAACAGAAGTTTCCTTGGACAGCCTTGGCGAGAGACCAGAATCCACGGGTTCTCGAAGGAAGGCGAACTAGTTTCTCGACAATTCTGTTGTGTGCTTTGACTTTGCCTTGGCAATGACTCTTTTGAAGAACCTGGAGGCGGAATTATAATTCTTTTTCAGGGCGTAACCACTAGGGTTACATCCTGGGACGTTGAATCGTCAGCCTAGGCCCGGTAACACTCCTGCTTATAGCGTGATCCTATTTTACAGGAGCGACCAAATCACGGCTGAGATCTGCCTCCGATGGGCACCACAGAGAAAGGAATAAAAAGTTCCATAGCCTGAAGTACCACATCAGCGACAGAATTAGCAACAATGTTGGGATCGTCCGGCAAGAAGAAAACCCGCCCACAAGGGTAAGATGCAAAGAAGGACCGCATCCTATACCAATCGGCGACCTATAGTGCCAAACACGGCGACAGCCTGCATAATGCAACCGCGATGTTAGTGTGAATGACATCACTCTCCAGACTAGATAATGGTCCAAGGAGCCAAGAGGGGCATCGGCGGAGACCTGATATCTATCCGGATGAGAGGTCAGCAGAAGGTCTAACAGGGAAGGCGCATGATCATCCATCTTGAATCCGCGTAAGCGAAGTAACCAGTTGTGTCAGACTATATGCCAAGGCAAAAAAATGAACAGATCTTTCCCCATGATCGGTTAAACGTTAACTGGGCCATTTGGCGTAGTGGGCGTTACAATCACCGAGGATCAAGATCTCTACGGATGGGATCTGCTGTAGCAAGGAATCTATAGCCATTTGGACGTGGTCGATGAATCGGTTTGTTTCGGCATTACCGCTATGGGACCTATAGAGGCAACCGTAGACGCGTGATGGTTGTCGCTTTCTACGCGTAGCCAAAGGCTGGACAGGTCCGAACCTTCAAGACTGCCGAGGCGTCGAGAACAGATGTCCTCTCTGATGTATACGCAAACTCCAGCCCGAGGCACAAATGGGTGTTCCAATTTGTAACCCGGATAGGAGATATACGAAGTATCAGCTGGAGAGGATGCCTGTGTTTCAGTCAGTAAGAGCAAGGATTCGCCATCTTGAGATGGTATTGGACATCATTTAGGTTCAAGGGAAGTCCCCTGGTGTTGCAGAAATTCAAGGATAGCGTGTCATAGGTCGCCTTGGCCTTGTTGCTCAGTTTGCCCCAAGCAGTTATTGTGTTGAGCAGAATTTTGCCAGATGAAATGCAGAAGCAGAGCTTCCACTTTACGCCGGTATTCTGTGAGGTCCATTGTTAACACCACACAACAATACACGTTCACTCGGTGAAATATTCGAGTCGACTGATTGAGCGACAAGCGTGGCGAGGCGACAAGGCGAACTAATGCGGCCGGGCTGCGCGTGTGAGCGGGAAAGGAAGTTGCTCGTGGTCGCGACGGCTATGGCGACGGCGGCGCGCCGGCGCGGCGCTCATATCTAATGACCATACAGCCTATTCAGTCGTGTAGGGTAATATTCCAATGTTTTTTTGGTTTAATGATATAGCCTATTCAATCGTTTTCTAAATATATTATTTTATTCAATATTACTTACTACAGATTCGCTTCAATATTTCAATATTATGATTTTTTTGGTAAGGAAGGCTATTTTATTATAAAAATAGCCTTCATTATCTATTGCCATAGACATAACACAGAAAGATATTTTAAAACGTTTAGTTTTTGCTAAAGCAAAAGCATTAGCTTTCTATTTCAGTTTAAAAAAAAATGTTTTTATGATTGTCCCAAGGATTACGAGGGCTGCACTAAAAGTATCGGGAATGGAATATTTCCACTGTTCCTGTCATATTAAAATCTTTTTAATTGAAAACCCCTTGGTTTTAAAAATCGAATACCATTTATTTATTTAAAAAAAGATTCTCGGTCTTGTCACAAGCTTTTGTCAAACTTGCTTAGTCGTTGAGAAAATGGAATTGACTCGAGAAAATTCAAGAGCGATGATTTATTATGACTTTCGAAGTGGTTTAACACAAAACAGTATGTTGACCGGATGATTTCTGCATTTGGTGATGAAGCCCCATCCAAAACCATAATTTATCGCTGGTTTGCTGAATTTCAACGTGGACGTGTCAAGCTCCGTGATGATCCCCGTCAAGGTCGTCCAAAAACTGCAGTCACCCAAGAAAACGTTGATGCTGATTGAGGAAGATCGACATGTGACATACCGCGAAATTCAGGCAACTTTAGACATTGGCGTGAGTTAAATACAAATAATCTTGCATGAACAATTAGGTGTAAAAAAGTTGTTTACCCGAAGGATACCATATTCGCTCTGTGAAGAGCAAAAAGCGGCTCGCGTTACTTGGTGCGTCAGAACTCTCGAAAGATTCCACGCAGGATCTTCAAATGCTGTATACAACATCGTATCAGGTGATGAATCCTGGATATACGCGTACGAACCCGAAACAAAAAACTAGTCACGAGTTTGGGTGTTCGGAAATGAGTTAAAGCCAACAAAAATTGTTCGTTCACGGAGTGTTGCAAAAAAAATGGTGGCCACGTTTGTCTCCAAAACCGGCCATGTTACGACTATTCCTCTTGAGAGACAAAGAACGGTTAATGCAGAATGGTATGCTAGCATTTGTTTGCCACAGGTCGTTTCTGAACTCCGTAAAGAGAACTACAAACGCCGCATCATCCTCCATCACGACAATGCGAGTTCTCACACCGCACACAGAACAAAAGAGTTTTTAGAGCAAGAAAACATAGAATTATTAGACCATCCGCCGTACAGCCCCGACCTAAGCCCTAATGATTTCTATACTTTCCCTAAAATAAAGAATAAATTGCGTGAACAGAGATTTTCATCACCTGAAGAAGCTGTGGACGCCTACAAAACGGCCATTTTGGAGACCCCAACTTCCGAATGGAATGGTTGCTTCAATGATTGGTTCCATCGTATGGAAAAATGTGTCAAATTTCGCGGAGAATACTTCGAAAAGCAATAAATACATTTTTAAATAGTAATGTTGTGTCACTTCCTTGATTCCCGAAATTTTCAGTGCCGCCCTCGTACAGAAACAAAAACCATTTATTTATGCTTATTATTTATTGCTTTATTACCTACATATTTTTGTATAACTGTTACGAACGATGTCAAGCATCCAATTTCATACATCTCCTTTAAAAATTGTGTTTTTGTTATAAGTACCGTATATACTTCCATATGCAATCAGTAAAAAGCTGTAATTTTGACATTACAAACAGACACTTCAATTTTATTTATTTGTATAGATTATAGATGTAGATGTCTATGGGCCACAGTATCCACTTACCATCAGATGAGCTGTGTGCTCGTTGGTCACACTTATTATATAAAAAAAACCACTCACTTCTACACAAAACACTCCAGACGTAATGTCCGCGGTAAACCGGCCAGTAGATCAGCACTTGAGAAAGCTGAAGTCAGTCGAGCAGTTACCTGGTGAAATAATTCCGGCCGTACTTCGCCCAGTGTGCCTCCAGGGTTCCCTGCACGGACAGGCCGCTGGTGGCGAGTACAGAGAGCCAGGCCAGCGCGGCCCACACGCCGTCCTTCTCCCGCACGTGGTCGGAGCCGGTGCCGAAGCTCTCCTCGCCGCATAGCGACAACCGCCCAGCATCCATCAGGTTGCCGAAGTACTTCCAGCCTGAGGACCACAGCGTGAAACATATTATACGCTAGCTTTGTAAAATAACGATGTTCTTTTTTTTTACACAATTTAAGTCAGTGCTTGAATACTATAGAATCAGGCACTTTTTTGCGATAATTTATTGTTAAATTTTTAATATTTTTAAGTAAATATTTATTAGCTAAGATGCGCGTAGTAAAAATGAGTGTCCTTACCTAATTTGAAGAGCACCAATGTATGTACAGTAGTGTGTCTTTTCTAGTGTAGTGGTGTTGGAAATACTATGTGGAACTTAACTAGTAAATTTTTAACAATTGTAAGGCTTAATTTGACAAAAGCCAATTCACTATTGCCTTGGAGATATACATTGTAACTATTGGAATAGATTGACAAACAGACACTCGTCGTTTATGTATTATGAACAGTACAACATCAAATAAAATATATTTTTCAACTAGCTGTTCCCCGCGACTTCAATCGCGTGTTATTAAGGGTCTTAGTTTTTCTGCGCGGAACCCAAATTCTTTTTCTAAAATAAAAGTAGCCTAAGTTACTCCTTATGATATCAGCTATCTGCTAGTGAAAGTCCCATCAAAATCAGAAACAAACAGACAGACAGACAAAATTTTTTATTTATCACATCATCATCAAGGAATGACACAAAGCACGGTCCTGACTTCCATCGACTTCCTGCATGTCTTACCAGGTTGTCACTCCACCTAGTGGGGGGGGGGGTCTTTTCTTCCTCATCGTTTGTCGGTTCTTCGAGCTGTATGGCCGGCCCACTGCCACTTCTGCTTACTAATCCGTTGGGCTATGTCGGTTACTCTGGTTCTACTGCGGATATCCTCATTTCTAAGTTTATCACGCAGAGAAACCCCGAGCATAGCCCTCTCCATAGCTCGCTGAGCGACCTAGAGCTTCCTCATACGGCCAGCAGTGAAGGACCACGACTCAGATCCGTAAGTCATCACTGGCAACACGCACTGGTTGTACAATTTCATTATCAGGTTTTGAGGTAGGTCAACAAGAAGATGTATCGTAGTTTCCCGGACGCTGCCCAGCCGAGTTGAATCCGTCGATTGACCTCTCGGTCGAAGTTAGACTTACCTAGTCGGACTATTTGTCCCAGGTACACATACGCGTCAACAACTTCGAGCTTAGTGCTCCCAACAACTACCGGCATAGGTGTGACATGGACGTTAAACATGATTTTTGTTTTGTCCATGTTTATCTTAAGACCTATCCGTTGGGAAACACTATTGAGGTCATTGAGCATAGCGCTTAGGTTCTTAAGCGATTCTGCCATAAGGACTATATCATCGGCAAATCGAAGGTGAGTGATGTAATCGCCGTTGATGTTGATACCGTATCCTTTCCAGTCCAGAAGCTTGAAAACGTCTTCCAATGCAGCGGTGAAGAGTTTTGGGGATATGACGTCACCCTGTCTTATACCTCTCTGCAATTGGATAGGTTTCGTACTCTGGTTCTGTAATCGGATAGCCATCGTAGCCCTACTGTACAAGCACTTCAACACTTCGATATACTGACAGTCAACTTGGCACCGCTGAAGGGACTGCAGCACCGCCCAAATTTCGACGGAATCAAAGGCTTTCTCATAGTCCACATACACCAGACATAGTGGCAAATTGTACTCTTCTGTCTTCTGTACAATTTGCCGAAGGGTGTGTATGTGGTCTATGGTACTAAAGCCTTTTCGGAAACCGGCTTGTTCGGGAGGCTGGAAGTCGTCAAGTCTGCGTGCGACACGATTCGTAATGAATCTCGAAAACAGCACGTAGACGCGGCTCAGAAGGGAAATCGGTCTGTAGTTCTTCAAGAGCGCGTTGTAGCCTTTCTTGAAGAACAAGATCACCGCACTTCTGCTCCATGCCTCCGGAGTAGACTTCTGCTCCATGCCTCCGGAGTAGTGCCACCATGGAGGACGGATTTAAAAAGCTACTGAAGGACTTCAAGTACCGGTTTTCCACCCGCTTTCAGAAGCTCCGCTGTAATTCCATCCTCGCCTGGAGCCTTGCCGTTTTTAAGATGCTGGAGAGCCATTCTAATCTCGCTCAGACTGACGTCCGGGATATCTTCGGAATATTGTCGGATAAGACTCGCTCTTGAATCGTTACTCACACTTGCGTGTGGCTCCAACGATGACGTGTACAGCTGCCCACAGAATCTCTAAATCTCAAGTGTTCCGGAAACGATGCTGCCACACTCGGTCTTCAGCTTTGACAGTTGGCTCTTTCTGGCAGACAGATCTCTGGCAAAGACTTTGGAGCCTTGGTTCCGCTCGATCGCTTCTTCAATACAAGCTGTATTGAAGTTGCGTAAGTCCCGCCGCATGCATTTGGAGATCTGTCTGTTAAGTTGCCTCTAACAGCCATGAGATTAAGAGTGTGATCGGAGAGTTATTGTGTTCTTCTGCGGCAGGTCTTGCAGAACTTAGCTCCGACCGCATGGATAGTTTCCATGAGCTTGTCATTCATATCTTCCACTTCATTGCAGTCTTCTAGGCATTGAAAACGGTTTTGTAACTCGAGCTGAAAGGTTTCGGGACTTTGGAACAGAGCACGAGGGGGACGGAGCGTTGACTTTATTAGACGAGACCTCTCCAACTTAACGTTTAGGTTCAGTTTGCCTTCAACTATTCGGTGATCGCTATCAATTTTCACCCTCGCGATCACGGAGACATCAGTGAACAGTTGTCGTCTGGTCGTCATAATGAAGTCAATCTCATTTTTTGTTGAACCGTCGGGGCTCGACCAGGTCCATTTCCTGTGGGGCCGCTTCTGGAAGAAAGAGTTCATCATAAAGAGTCCCTCTTTCTCCATGAAGTCGGCCAGCTGCTGGCCCTTTGGGTTCCGTTTCACTATTCCAAATTTCCCTACTTTCAGATCACCGTTCTCTTTTGTGCCTAGTTTTGCATTGAAGTCTCCCATTAACACCGTATAGTGGGTTTTGGAGGAATGCATGGCTCTAGAGATATCCTCATACACTTCCTTCACCTCCTCATCGGGATGTGCCGAGGTTGGTGCATAAGCCTGTATGACCTTCAGCGAATACCGTTTGGTGATTCTGAGTATAAGGTACGCAACCCTCGTCGACACACTATCTTTACAACGTTGATAACGTGAGACTTGTGGACGATAAATCCGACACCTCCTTGGGACAGATGGTCGCCCTCCCGGTGATAGAGCAAGTTGCCGGATTCGAGGATTGCCGTGTCTACCCTCTCTCTTCGGACCTAGGATAATCCTATAATATGCCAGCGTAACTAGTCTAACTCTTCTTCCAGTTCCACCATCTTCTCGTCAGTCCTCAGGCTGCTTGCGTTGTATGTTGCCAGGTCGAGTCATCTTAGGTGGCAACCGAATCTCTACCGGGGATTCTTAGCACCCCCTGCCCCGCCGTTATCATGGTCGCCACCGTAGCCAGGAATAGCGGGGCCGCCGGGGACTGGGAGTTGTTTCTTTGTTACTCTCATCATGGGGAGGTATTTGCCATAGTTGCCATGCTTGGCGAGCGGGTTGGCAACTGCAGTTTTTTTATTGTAATTTTGTTGTTATCAGGAAGTTGCTGTTGCCCATCTTCTGCCTGTTTTCCTTTGTCGCCTCTTACGACACCCTCGAGAAGATATGGGGTAGTGGATGTTCTTAACCGCCAATACACGGTACCTATCACATAATTTAATATAATTTGACAACGTTATTCGTTTTTGTTTTTTTTTCATGTTGCAGCTTATTTACGTCCCACTGATGGGCAAAGGTCTCCTCTCATTTCTGAGAGGGTTTTAGGGCAAGGAATTGTCCACCGCGCTACATTAATGCGTGTTGGCGAACTTCACATGTTTTCGAGAAATATTTTTTTGTCTTATTTCTCAGACATGCACGTTTCCTCAAGACGTTTTCCTTCACCACTTAAAATTGCAATTAACAATTTCATTGGTGCCGGTGGGGATCCAACCCGGGTTGCTCGAGTACTGTGAAGTTTACAGCGAGCGCTAACCATCTCAGCTACCATGGTTCTTGTTTTTTTTTTTAAGTTAAAACAAAATGGAACAGGACCATGAGAATGGACAGGATATATGGGGGGGGGGGGGGTTCTGTAAGGTCCGTGGGTGTCGTAAGAGGCGACTGAGAGAAACAGAACCAGGAGACGGACAGCAGTATCTTCCTGATTGCACCTGAATAAAAATATAAAACTGCAGTTGCCAATGTAGTACCAAGCGTGGCAACTATAGCGAAATCCTTCCAATGAAGCAATCGCTAGAGTAACTATGTTCAGCAGTGGAGTTTTAAAGCCTGTCTGTAATGGATGGATGGAACACAGAAGCTTCGCGCTCCCACACAGTTGTACATTAGCAAAGCTCACCTGTGGGCACTTCGAACATCTCCTTGCCGTGTTTAGCTGCGACGCGATCGACTGCGGCTGCTGTGGGCATGCTGCGGGCGAGCCCGCGCACGCCGCGCCGCGCGAAGTACGGCACGCACTGCGCGTGCTCCGCCAGCACGGCCAGCGAGTCCGACGGCGACACGAAGAACGCGTCCCGCCCGATTATCATGTTCCTGTCGCCTGTCACATATTTATAAACATTAAGTCTCGCACCGAAAACAAAATATCGAACGTCATACACATTTGAAGTAAACGTGGTAGAGCCACGCTGCAGCTATATTACGGTTGTGTGAATATGTCGGCTCGACCGGGGTGGGACCATGTTCTCACAGAATTCCCTGTGTAAAAGAGCAGCTTAAATATTAAATATTATAGCGTAAATTAGCAGCTTAAAGCTGCTGTGTTTCGTATGGTGAGTGTAAAATACCGGAGACCCTTTTTACTGGAAACGCGGCATTCCATCTTAGGTCTCAGGGGTTACAACGCATCTACGTTTTGATTCTTATTCGACGATAAATGTAAATGTCTATGGGCCACAGCATCCACTTACCATTAGGTGGACTGTGTGCTCGTTTGTCACTCCTATACTATAAAAAAAAGTAAAAAAGAACGTTATGTACATTACAAGTTACACGAAAACCATACTCTGTTTATTGTATATGCACGTTGAAGTATTATAATGTAATGGAAACTCAGACTATGCGGCAATGTTCTCCAACACGCACTGGATTTTTCTGCTCCAACTCTATGCATATATCACTTTTTTACATAGGGAAATGCTTACGCGAACCTGCTCCACGGGAGCCATGTGGTTTCACCATGTCCAGTGGTCGTGGATGTGTACGAAATAACGATTTCGTACACATCCACACCACCCCACCAAGCCACTTTACGGAAGAGTTCAGCTCCTCTCCCTTTTCCTTCACAAGGCGCATCAGAAAACCAACTTTACGTCCTCACCTAGCTTCTGCAAGAAATCTAGAAACCATGAAGAACCATGAAAGCATGCTTTAACTACATAAGTAAATACTACCAAGTGTTAGAATGGGTCGTGGAAACAAATATGGCCTACAAATTCTTGTTTACGACAAAGGAGAAAATACTATAAGAGAAAATTCAAATAAAAGTTCAAAGATCCCCAACTCACCGTCGCCGTCAAAAGCGGCGCCAAAGTCATAGTCCCCGTTCTTAACAGCGGTGACGAGGTCCGCCGCATACGTGAGATTAGGATCGGGATGAGCGCCGCCGAAGTCTTCCAGCGGGGTTGCTCTCCTCACGCTGCCTTCCGGAGCACCCAGCTCAGAGATGAAGATGCGCTTCACGTACGGACCCGTTACTGGACAAAATATGGTAATACGGTATGGTAATGGTAGTGGTCGTGAGTTTTTTGAAAGATTACTGATAGATAACGGCAGAATATCAGCGCTGTGGTTTATACACTGCCTACCTACCTACCTACCTATGTTAATGTAATATAATATATTCATGTGATGCAATTATTTATAATGAAGCTTCAAATGAAGATGTTTCTTTCTTTCTTGTCATTGGTCAAAGGCGACTTTAACACCAGAAGGAATATACCTAGAACGGCGAAGGGGAGCACCATCAAAGGCAGGATAATTGCCTCACCTGGTATTAAGATTTTGCAAATTTGCCTTAAAAATTCCCAGCATTTATGGCACATTTATGCTACAAAGGAAAATACCATGGGTGTTTTCAGTCCAACAGTGGACACTGTTATCTTCTTAGGAGTAACGCTCTTGACAGAGCGGTCGTGGTCATCACGAAGAGAGTACTTCCGTGATGACTTTTCTAGAAAAGATTAGTAGCAGTGATTTCCCCTTGCCTGCACCGGTGCTTTTGAGGATTACTTGGTTTCCTTGGTTGCTGAAACCTCTTCTCCCATCATACCAGGTGTGAGTGGTTATGCAGCCACAGGTCACTCGCCAGAGCCTCATCTGTTGTCTAGAGTACCGCGTGCTACTAACGTGCTTTTATTAGGTTGGCATTTAAGCAATCAGGGTATTAAACGAATTAATTAATAATAGCGATCGGCGAAATATTTACTATTACTTGCACTTTTCGGTAAGTTGTAGAACTAGAATGTGACCAATATAACGCAATTTTTTTCTGTTATAATATTTGAATTGAGTTTCTAGCACTTAAATTTTTGTAATTATTGACAAAGTTGGTTCTTTAGTCACTGTTTTATACTGTTTTCGTAATATACTCGTAATACGTGGAGAACACTTTCTTGCATGTTACTACTACGGCGTCGGTACCGGAACATTCCAGACACAAGGAGGCCTATAGTTCAGAAGTGGACTTTTGTTAGGCTGGAGTTTTGGCAGGAACTTGACCGGCGGCGTATTGCTGCTTCTGTATTATTGTTTAAATAATGGTTTGAAGTGGACTTTGATATGTAAAAGTGGTGCGATTTTGTGTATTAAATGTCTGTGCATTGAACTATTACTGGAAACGGTGAAAAAAGTACTCCGATGGTGATGTGAATCTCAAGATAAGATTGTCTGCTGGCTCAAGTTGCCGTCAAAATCTCCCAAAGGTTACGCAATGTGAAGCATCAACATATTGTGAAGTCGTGTACTATAAAGAATTATTATCACTTGACACAGATAAATGAAGACGTGGCTTAAAGGACAAGCATCCAAGCCGAAAATCTTAATAAAAAAAATTGTTAGGCTGTAATAAATGAATAGAGTATTATTTCAACCAACAACAAACTACATACCTCCGCTCATGCAGTCAATGAGCATTTTGAAGGGCGGCCTCTGCTCGGAGCCCTGTATTAAAGTCTTGATCTTCGGGAAGTCGAAGATCTCTTTCATGTAGTCCACGTAGTCCTGAACCGGATCTATCACCTCCACCACGAACTGACGGTCTTCCACCTGGTGAAGAATGTTGACCAGAAGGTCATCATCATCAGTTGTTCATTTTTTTACTGTAGGATGACAAATGGGGACACTTTACATCGGATATAATGTTAGTGGATGCTATATACAACATGTAACAACTGTCTTTGACAACACTTACTCCGCGGCCAATGTCGCATACTATCTAATATATTCGATTATTGCCATATGTACGATTTATTGTGCATTAAAGTTGAAATAAATAAATAAATGTGTAAAAAAAAAGCTTAACGCTGGTGTATTTCGTATGGTGAGTGTAGAGAACCAGAGACCCCTTTTACTGGAAACGAGGCATTCTATCTTAGTCTACACGGGTGACAACGCATCTGCATTTTGATTCGTAGTTGAGGATAGATGTAGATGTCAATGAGCTACAACAACTACTTACCATCAGGTGGACTGTGTGCTCGTTTGTCACCCTTATAAATATACAAAATGCTCTATACACTTACCATTTCACGGTGGTATACTGTGCGAGCGTGCCCTTCCCGTGCCGACCCATTCGTGCCGCAGCTTGGCTCCACCAGGTAAGACGTAAAACTATATTATCTCACTTTGAAACAAAAAATCTAACCGTAAACGTTTGCATTCCAATCTGATCCACGGCGCAGACCAGGTCCGGCACGATCTTGTACTGCTTGATGTGAGTGGTGAGCGAGTAAATTTCGTTGGTGGTGTTATCCGGGGCCGGTCCTCCATTGCTGCAGTTGAATTTGATGCCGAAGTCGTTGTTGATGCCGCCCGGGTTGTGCGAGGCTGTTAGTACGATTCCGCCTGAAAATATTACAAGTCAATTTAGTTACAGTCACAAAGTCAGTAACTTTCACAGGTTATTTTCTTTTCTACCGACTTCAAAAAGGAGACGGTACTCAATTAGGTTTTTTTTTATGTGTGTTACCTCATAACTTTTTACTGGTTGAACCGATTTCGATGATTCTTTTTTTATTTGAAAGTTGGGGCTTCGCATGTGGTCCCATAAATTAGATCAAGGCCTGACTAATAGTTTTTGAGTTAGTCTTAATAATTTATATTGAAGCCGGTTGTACAAAATTTTTAATTTTAAATTATTACGTTATAGAACTAGGATGACAAACGAGCACACAGTCCACCTGATGGTAAGTGAACGCAGTGGCACATAGCCACACATACATCTATCTATGTTTAAGAATAAAAATGCAGATTCATTGTTACCCTTGAGGACAGACTTGGAATGCCTCATTTCTAGTAATAAGAGTCATCGGTTTTCTACACTCACCATACAAAACACAACAGCATTTAGCTGCTATTCTATGTTAGTATTCTATGAGAACATGGTCCTTCTTGGTCGAGCCGACCCATTCGTGCTACAACCACAATATTATTTAATAAAGCTGCAGCTATATATAAGAGTATTAGGCCTTTTTTTTATAGTATAGGGTGAGCGTATAATCATTTTTGTATTCGTAAATTTTCTTCATTAAAAGGTCTAAATTTACCATATTCCTCCCTGTTTTTAATTAAAAGTAACACACATAAAGCGAATTATGCATCATCTCCCTCTGATAAACTATCTAGGCTGTCAAGCAAATATCCATTTTGTTTGAAAGACAATTTTGTTTGTAAACGTTTGTTTGTAAAAGACCTAACCTACGCTACGCTAAAAAACTAAAATGGAAGTGGGCTGGACCCGTAGCGAGGCTAAAGAACGAGAAATGGACCACCAGGGTAACAACGTGGAAGGGTCCAAAAGGGCAAACTTCTCAAAGGCAGTCCCCACTCGAGATGGGCAGACGATTTGATAAAAACAGCTGGTACCTGCTGGCCGCAAATAGCTCAAGACACACATGGAATTCTTTAAAGGAGGCCTTCACCTTCACTTGAGGAGAGGTTCATGCAAACAAACTTATATATTATTATCCAGATTTAAACATTTTTTCTTTTTTACTTTTTTTTCTCTAAACTATAAACTACGTATGTATCTCATTTTTAGTGTGAAATAAAAGGCTTATGTGGCTTATTATAAATTGTTATTTCATTTAAGACGTTTCCCTGACCAAATAACCTTGAGCGTGCAGTGCACTGCCGCTCGCACTCTGCGTACGCCTATTTATCATAGAAATCACACAATTTTTGGAATTATTTTAATTAAAACAGAAAAGCGAACTTTAAAAATTTAATAAAACGTGAAGAATATAGATTTTTAAATTATCTATCCATTAGTGTAATCCTCAAATGATTAGAGCGTTGCCTTTAGCAACAGATGCATGTAATCAATAATTTTCATAATTTTTTAAAAGAAGATTTTAAATGTATTTATAACACATAAAAATAAATTAGAACGTGTAATGTGATGATAGGATATCGAACGTTAATAATGTGCTTTCAGATGTAGTTTATTTCTCATAACTAATGAGATAATAGTGTCTATGTCTTAATAACGAAGAAAAACGCACTATCGCAAAGTTTTGGTCGGGGTATCGCCTTAACATAATCATAATAAATTTCAACAGTGGTAGAGCCACGCGGCAGCTTTTGCTGTCGCACGGATGGGCCGGCTCGAACCGGGGTAGTACCACGACCTCACAGAAAACCAGCGTGTAGTAGAGGTTTACCTCTGCGTTTCGCTTGGTGAGTGCAGGTGGCCGGAGGCCCTTTTTACTGGAAATGAGGCATTCCATCTTAGTCCTCACGGGTGACAACGCATCTACATTTTGATTTGTAACAGAGGATAGATGTAGATGTCTATGGGCCGCAGCAACCACTTACCATCAGGTGGAATGTGTGCTCGTTTGTCACCCTTATCCTATAAAAAAAAATATCATTGAAAAAATATTTTTTAGGGTGTTAACACACTGCTATGCTATGATGCTAATGATCAACGTCAACCGATGTCGATCGATTGGTATTGTAGATTTAGCTGATCGGCGGATACTGGTCGATGAAACGTTGTTCGAGCATCCATCGCGATTTCGATCGGCAACTAATCGATGCGGTTTTGGTTTCATCAGCAGTATCTTTCTAAATGTATCGAGAAGAGGAAGCGCTATTGTCGGCCAGTACGCTCTAGCTCGTATTAGTATTACAGAGACGCAAACGCAGAAGTCTGCATGCGATCGTTTTTAAGGCCAGAGATAACTTAAATTCATCAGACGACATTTTAAATAGCAGTCGATGGAGCGGGGCGGATTCTCAAATAATGAAGCGGCTCGATCGACTTCGACTAATCCATTCTACCATCGATCGATGCCATCTGTCGATCGGTGTGGTAGAAACTATCGATCGACTTCGACTAATCTATTCCATCGTCGATCAATCGATTGTTGTGGCTAATCTTGTGTTTAATCAAAAGTTCGTCAAAATGTGTTAATAAGTGATTTCTTATATTTACGCGAACACTACACATTGAATAAAACTACTTTTACGGATTTTATCGCGTTTAATTAACTTATTTTATATTCCCGACGTTTCGGTTGCTTTCCAGCAACCGTGGTCACGGGGGACTGAGGTGATTGACGTCCCGATGTCAAAGTTAACCCGGAGTACCTTCAGCTTTTTAATTATTAATTTTGGTCTGCGTAGATCGGAGCAGCAACCGAAACGTCGGGAATATAAAATAACTTAATTAAACGCGATAAAATCCGTAAAAGTAGTTTTATTCAATGTGTTAATAAGGTAAATAGTAAGAGGATATGTAAATTTGGTGAGCAATATTACTTATCAAACAGATTTAAATTTTGTTATCACACTGATTTTAATAATATATACCTAATCTAATCAATCTGATATTAGATTTTTAATTTATTTAATCTTTATTGGAAGACGCCTTAAATTAATGAGGGTTGCAATGGACGGACAGGTCGGATTTAATACCTTATAGCATTCTCTACCGATCAACCCTGTGATAAATATACAGGTTGTTCCAAAAGTCGACGTCAAGTCGGAATCGGGTGATAGGACAAATCGTAATAGTTACCAGAAAAATATTTAAAAAAATCTTAGTCATGTATTTTTTAAATTACAGTATTTTTTTTTTTTTGAAAAATGTACAATCTGTGATGTTTTTAGCTCCTTTAGCTACAAATCTTTACTTTTTTTCGATTTTTTTTGTGTAATCTTGGGTAGTGCTTGTGTAACCTGTTGTTTTTAATTCTTAGCTAACAGCTCCAACTTAGAAGAACATGTCATTTTTTTTAATAGGATAAGGGTGACAAACGAGCACACAGTCCACCTGATGGTAAGTGGTTGCTGTGGCCCATAGACATCTACATCTATCTTCGTTTACGAATCAAAATGCAGACGCGTTGTCACCCGTGAGTACCAAGATGGAATGCCTCGTTTCCAGTAAAAAAGGGTCTCCGGTTCTCTACACTCACCATACGAAACACAACAGCGTTATGCTGGTATTCTGTGAGAGCGTGGTACTTCCCAGGTCAAGCCGGCCCATTCGTGCTACAACTATACTACCAATATAGCTGCAGCATGGCTCTACCACGTAAATAAAAAGCTGCTGGCCGTCTCCTGTTCCACTTCCCTGTCATTTCTTACGACACCCATGAAATGATATCTAATGGTTTGGTGAATTCTCTTACTTTTACACAACACGGCTAATCGAATTATATAACATAATTTTTTCATATATTTTCACTAGCGAAGATCGCGTGCCTCATTGGTCAGTGTCCCTGGCTGCCGAGACATGATTCCAACGATCACCAGTGCCGTGTTTCAAAGTGGTAGAGTTAATTTGCAGCATATTATGGCTGCAGCACGAATCATTCGGCTCGACTGCGGTAGGACCTCGTTAGCACAGAATACCAGCACGAAATAGCCACCTGATGCAACTATTTCATTGGGTAACGAGAACCGAATACCCTTTTTACTAGTGTCCCTTGCATTGCATTTTCCTCAGGAGTGAAAACGCATCTTTGATTTTTAATCAAGGATGTAATATGGGCCGCTATGGGCCGCAGCAACCAAATATCGCGAACTGTACCGTGTATACGTCACCTAATTTCTAGAAAAAAACGTGAGGCGATTTCGACATTATATCAAACATAATGGTCGACAAAATAAACAAAAAGAAAATATTATAGCGTAAAATAGCAGCTTAATGCTGGTGTGTTTCGTATGGTGAGTGTAGAGAACCGGAGATCCTTTTTACTGGAAAGTTCTCAAGGCTGACAACGCATCTACATTTTGATTCTTAACTGAGGATAAATGTAGATGACTATGGGCAACAGCATCCACTTACGATCAGGTAAACTGTGTGCTCGTTTGTCATCCTTATTCTATAAAAAAATTCTTTCTTCATTTTTTGGTTTCCAAAGTCATAGATACTAATTTAAAATTTTAGTAATTTTATCGCAAATTATAAACTATCTGAGATAAGTTTATTGCGCCAGACTAGATAACAAATACGCAATAATATATTATAATTATTAAATCTGGACACCGTCAAGGAAACTCCAAATCGATAAAATTGTCGAGTCATTTTTAGATTTATAGTAGTTATTTATTTTTTATTTATTTATTTATTATCGGATAAAAATTGTTACATTATTGCTATGCGGCACAGTGAAAAACCACGCAGGTTTGTGTTGCGTGCCGTTCCGTCTACATTTACAAAAATAGAGATAACAACTAATATTTGTTAAGGAAATAACATTTTAATTTATACTTTATGTTAACTTCATTAATTTCAATTTTAAATTTATTATCCAGACCATTTATTAAGCGAGGTATTATGTATGCACTGGTGCGCTCACCATATTTATTTTTGGATGGTATTGTTATTAATT